TGAGTGCGCCGTTTCCGCCTACGTCACAGAACGTGCCGCCTGTTAACGTGCCACCCGTTCAAGACATCCAGCCACCTGCGCAACCGCCCATTATGGCGCCAGGTGTAGATGCAGTGTCCCTACAGTCTCGCCTCGCAGACTTTTGGACGGACCAGCCACGCGTATGGTTCGTACGCACGGAAGCTATCCTCGCACCTCAGAGGTTGAGTGATGAGGCGAAGTTTGACCTGGTCGTGTCTAAGCTAAGTAAGGAGGTTATCGCGCAAGTGACGGACATATTACTCAACCCGCCTCCTACCTATAAGTACGACGCACTCAAAGCTCGGCTACTCCACATCTATGAGGAGTCAATGTCGAGGCAGATCGAGAAGCTTATGAGCGAGCTAGAGCTGGGCGACCAGAAACCATCTCAGCTGCTTCGGCGGATGCGTGAGCTCGCTACTGACAAGGTTCCTGATGAAACCCTTCGCGTCTTGTGGCAGGGTCGTCTTCCGACACAAGTCCGAGCCGTGCTAACTGTGTCCGACTCCAAGGACCTGGACAACCTAGCAGCAGTTGCAGATAACGTCATGGAGGCTGTGCGGCCTTCCTATGCCGCCACCGCTACTTACACCGTGCCAGCGCCAGCATCTACTACCGCCTATGACTTGGCCCTGTTGAGAGCTGAGGTGGCTAAAATAAAGGCTACCGTGGACCGGATCGATCAGCAGAGGTCGCGGTCCCGCGCCCCTGATCGCAACCGGCGTCGTTCACAGTCCAGGCGCCGTAGCAGTCCCTGCCGTCCCCGGAAGGAGAACTACTTATGCTTTTACCATTACAGGTTCCGAGAAAAGGCCAACAGGTGTACGAAGCCTTGCGCGTGGATAACAACACAGCCGGAAAACTGAGCAGCGAGGTACAGTCCGAGGGTCTTCAGGTCTGTACCGTTTTTCCATTCAATCGTTTGTGTGTGTCAGACAGTAACTCCGGACTTAGATTTTTAGTTGACACCGGTGCCAATGTGTCTGTTTTACCAGCCGTGAGAAAAGATCGTCTAAATCAGTGTAGTGAATATAAATTATACGCAACTAACGTCAATGAAATCGCAACTTACGGTACCAAGACAATAGTGTTAAACTTAAACTTACGCCGACCTTATCGTTGGGAATTCGTTGTAGCAGATGTCAAACAACCAATTTTGGGCGCCGATTTTTTAGCGTACCACAAACTATTAGTTGATTTAAACACGCGTAAATTAATAGATAAAACTACAGAATTGAATGTTTCGGCATCTGTTGTCAATGTATCTCAACCTAGTGTTAAAACTATTGATGTAAATCATCCATATCAGGATTTATTGTTAAAGTATCCGGACATCACTAAACCAGCGTCATTCCGAGAAACTGCGAAACACGATGTCGTCCACTATATCGAGACCTCTGGCCCGCCCGTGCACGCGAAAGCGCGCCCGTTGCCACCTGACAGGTATAAAAAAGTTAAAGAAGAATTTCGCATCATGCAAGAACTGGGCATCTGTCGTCCTTCAAAGAGCGCGTGGGCTAGTCCGCTCCATGTAGTTCCTAAAAAGAATGGAGATATAAGACCTTGTGGGGACTATCGCCAGCTGAATGCGATAACAAAGCCCGACAGATACCCGATTCCTCGCTTGAACGATTTTACTTTTATTCTTCCGGATAAAAAGATATTTTCAAAATTAGACATCAATAGAAGTTATCATTTTATACCTGTCGCACCAGGTGACGTGGAGAAAACCGCTATCATAACACCATACGGACTTTTCGAGTTTCCTCGAATGACCTTCGGTTTGCGCGGAGCAGCACAAACCTTCCAGCGCTTTATGAACTCCATTTTACAAGGTCTTGATTTTGTTTTTTGTTATTTAGACGACTTACTTATAGCTAGTGACAACGAAGTTCAACACAGGCAACATTTAGAAATTATTTTTAAAAGGCTTAATAAATATGGAATTTCAATTAATTTGGCAAAATGTCGTTTCGGACAAACTAAACTAGAATTTTTAGGACACGAGATTAGTACCGACGGCGTCAGGCCGTTGCAAGATAAGGTTCAGGCAATTGTGGAATTTTCGAAGCCAAAAACTGTTGCAGAACTAAGACGTTTTCTCGGTATGGTCAATTTTTATCGAGCTCATCTTCCCAACGCAACTTTATATCTAACAGAATTAAATAAATATCTTAAAAGCTCAAAGAAAAATGATAAGACTCCCATCGTCTGGACGGATAGTGCGAACGAAGCATTTACGCAATGCAAGGCAGGTCTCACACAGGCCGCTACATTGACGTACCCTAGAGTGGGTTCCGCACTCGCTTTAATGACTGATGCATCTAATACATGCGTGGGAGCAGTCTTGCAACAAAAGGAAGGAGATAGCTGGAAACCATTGGGCTATTTCTCAAAAAAATTGACCACCACCCAACAGCGATATAGCACATACGATCGCGAGTTGCTCGCTATATACTTAGCTATAAAACATTTTCGGAAATTATTTGAAGGGCAAGAAATAACCGTGTATACGGACCATAAACCTTTAACTTTTGCATTTCAAAAGGTAGGACGCGATGAAAGCGAAACGCCTCGGAGAACGAGACATTTAGCTTTCATAAGTGAGTTCACTACAAATATAAGACATATAACCGGTACGAATAACATCGTAGCTGACACCTTATCGCGCATCGAAGCCGTGACTATGCCAACTGCGTTGAATTTCGATGACATTGCAAATGAGCAGCGTAGCGACAGTTATATCATGAATGTTATGTCTGGTTTAAATACCGATAATATTTTGTTAAAGGAACTAGTTATACCTATGTTAAATAAGTCTATTTTTTGTGAGATGTCTACTGATACAGCTCGTCCGTACCTACCGGAAAAGTTTCGACGCCTAGCTTTTGATAGTTTACATAATTTGAGCCATCCTGGAATTCGTTCTACGCGAAAGATGTTAGCCAAAAAGTATTTCTGGCCTAGTATGAATCGTGATGTTTCTTTGTGGGCAAAAACGTGCATACAATGTCAACGTTCTAAAGTTAACAGACATACGGTATCGAATCTGACTAAGTTTCCGGAAGTAGAGCGTTTTGAGCATGTGCACGTCGATATCGTTGGCCCTCTTGAGATCTCACCAGATGGTTATAGATACTTACTCACGATAATCGATAGGAGGACCAGGTGGCCTGAAGCTTTTCCGTTACGAGACATTACGGCAGAAACTGTTGCCAAACATTTATATGAAGGTTGGATTTGTCGTTACGGTTGCCCGATAAAGTTAACTAGCGACCAAGGTCGCCAGTTTGAGAGTAGTCTTTTTAACCAGCTGTTAAAAATGTTGGGGGTTAATAGAATTCGAACTACTCCTTATCATCCGCAAAGCAATGGCGCAGTTGAACGTTGGCATCGTTCTTTAAAAACAGCACTTTCAGCTCGCCTGTCACATGGGTCCTGGGTGGAAGAGCTACCCACAGTATTACTTGGGCTTCGCGCGGCCGCCCGCAGTGACTCAGGGGTTAGCGCCGCCGAGTTAACGTTCGGACGAAACTTACGTCTACCGGGAGACTTTTATGACGGCTCTTCGAACAACCGTAACGTCAATGATTATTGTTTAGTGGATAAGATTAGAGATACTATTCGTAGTTATAAGCCTACATCCGACGATTCACGTAACTGTCATAGTTTTTTTGTGCACAAGGACTTACGTAACTGTGAATATGTCTTTGTTAGGGACGATTCAATACGTAAACCTTTGAAACCACCCTACGACGGTCCATACCGCGTGATAAAAAGGGGCTCAAAAGTTTACCTAATTCAATTACCCGATAGACAGGTACATATTTCTATCGACAGATTAAAGCCTGCATATGTATTAAAGGAATGTGATGGTAACGAAGCAACGCCACGCCAAAGTAACGCTGACAACGCAGCGGATGTGGCACCTGCGCATGTACGGTTTCCGTTACCACCGTCCACACCGCTGACGTCGTTGTTACCCGGCCCGAGCAACCCGATAACCGTGAAAACAACGCGAAGTGGTCGGATTGTTAAGTTACCTTCACGATTTATAAGCTAGTGTTAATATAAAATATATATTATACAATTACATGTCTAAATGATAATCAGGTTTAGTTACTATGGATGTGAAAGTATTATTTGCATTGTCAAGTGCATAATATTTTCATTCAGGATATTCAAGTTACATTATTTAAGTTGAATGTAATTGTAGAGGTATCGTGTTCAGTATTTTGCGTATACTGCACTTTCATATAGGTTCCAGGTAGCTAGTTTAGTTATAATGTATTTAATATAATTTCATTCGAAATACTTCCTTTGCGATAGCATTAGCGCGATAAGTTTTACGATTTTTACTATGGGTAATTTTCAAGAAAAACCAGTTATTGTTTCTCAGGCTCAAAATACTGTAGAGAATAAAGTGGATAATTTTCAAACATGGTTATATGTGATAGCCAGTTTTATGGGGGCGATAATCCTGTACACTATTTGGGTAAAGTTTAATAAGAAGTTCAAAAGCTGGCTTCGTCATCAGGTGTTAATGACAGGCGTTCCGATATCGGGCCAGAATATGGGTCAGATGATAGGTGCTTCTAGCACCAGTCTGCAGCATGTGCCCGCGCCCGCCGCGGCCGCCACCCCTTTCGCGGGGGTCTCCGTACAGCCCTGCGCACAAGCGCATTAGCAAGTTTTTGTTGTTAGTTTTAAGTTTATATTCATTGTATAGTTTTAAGTTTTTTGTATTCATTTTTTGTAAAGGGGGAAGTATTGTAGGTGTGCTGCGCACACACATGTAAACTTCGCAATGTTGTATTGTAACTATATTATGTAGTGAATAAGATTTTTCAACCAGTCACTAGTTGCCCGCCAACTGTATGGCACGTTCCGCTATAATAAATATATTAGTAAAAGATTTAATCTTTCATTATGGTCACCAATAGGCACCCATATGGAGTCAGCTCCTAAATATTTATCCGATGAACCCTGATGTATTTTGTGAAGAAGATTTTCTACCAGCCGAATTGCCCCAGTCAGCAGAACCTACGGCCATTCAAAACGTTGATGAATCAATGGAAATTCATAGCTCAGCGCCAGGTTTAGAAAGCTCTTTAGTACCTGGCACATCAATGCAAGATAATTCACATCCACCAACAATGACACCACAAAGAACTTCTAGCTCAGTCAATTGTCCAGACGCTGACCCATCAGTGGAAATTGTTTCAACAGCACCTGGCCCAATATATTCACCAGTTCCTAGCACATCATGTCAAGTTGATTTAACAGTCTCTAGTCTTGATATTGGCTGCGTTTGACATAAAAAAGCGCTAGCAAGCGCTTGTAAGCAAAATGGCGAAACTAAACAGTTTTCGGCCAGGACACGTTTGCTAACTTCAGTAGCGCTGATACAATCCATCATTTAGCTTATTTAATTTGTTTGTTTTGAAGAAGAGTTTATAAGTTATTTTGTGCAATATTAGTTATAAGTAACCTAATGACATGAATAAACATATTATACATGTTATTAAAATTCATGATTAGTAAGTTTTTAATATGAAAACTTTACAAACATATATTTAAATTGGGTTAGGTTCCCCGGTTAAAACTAACTTCATGTCCTAGACGAAAATAGCTACTTACGATTTGACAGCGCTTACCGCTTACGATCGCCATTTTGCTTACAAGCGCTTGCTAGCGCTTTTTCTGCCAAACGCAGCCATTGTGTCGAAACTAATTAAGTTGCCATAGAAAACCAATACCCACAATACGAGACAAGGTCGCAAGAAGCAGCATGCAACAATTTTAACATCTACACCAATAAAAGGAAGCCTAATAGAAAAAGAAAATAAGAAAAAGAAAACAGTCTGCCCACCCAAAGATAAAGATAGGGGAAAGGGAAAAAATATAACTAAGGGCAAGGGCAAGGGCCAAGCAAAGAAGACGAAAGTGCCGGAAGAGGGGACCAAAAGAGTAAAGAGAATAGTTAGTTGTAAGGTATCAAACGATACCTCTGTATTAGACGTGGGCACAGATGATGAACTAGATGATGATGACGGCGCAGGAAATGTATGCTTAATCTGCAACGAATTTGGCAAAAATAATGAGGTTTGGTACAGGTGCACCTCATGTGGTTTATGGGCTCACGCAGATTGTACTGGGTGGGAGTCTGCCGAGCACTATATTTGCGATTATTGCTAGATTTTTCTATGATCCTTATTGCCCACAATGTGACCTCAATTACCCGTACCTCAGGGCAATGGGAGTCAAAACAATTTTTTTTTAATACTTTTATATTTCTCAAAAATGATGATTATTGTGATAATTATTTATCTCCAATTATAGCTAATTAAGTAAATTTTGTTATGAGGTGGTTGCAATAAAGATTTTAACTTGTGTATTCTAATTCTTGCTTAAGTGATCCCCATTACCCCTTTCTACCCTACCCACAGGCTAACTAGGCACAGGACCCTTGGGGGTAAGGTTCAAGAGAGTGCTGAGCTTGCCTTAGTACAGAATAAAATTTGGTATAATATTCTCAGTAAATAATAAAGTGCCGCAAATATTTACTTGGTTTTTTTTTTTCATGGTAGTGGATGCTGTGTTGAAGAAAATGGTGTAGCAGCTTATACTTAAACTGGAAGAGCATACCTGTATATAATGCTGTTCTACTAGTAGTGGTCGTTCCAGAGCGCATGATCGTCGTCGTTCTTTTTCGAGACAGAGGAGCAGATCCAATGGAGGCTAATAATCTTCCGCTCACCAGACGTCGCTAGTTGACACTGAGGCGAATTTTTTCGTTATACGAGGGTGGCACTGAAAGTTCTTAGAAATCGAAAACTGAACAAACTAGCGAGTTATTAGTTTTATTATATCTTTTCAAAATAGTGTCCATTTACATCAATACATCGCTACATATGATGGAACCCCTTTTTTTTTACATGGGGAAATGCCTACGCATACCCGCCTCGCAGGGGCAAGGATAGGTTATGTCGGACTCGCATCGACTAAAACCCCATGGTGTTCCACCTTCGTCGCATATTGGCAGGGCTACGGGAACGCTTTCGCACACTTCCGCGGCCCCACCAGCGACTGCCGCCCCATGGCAGCACCTCATCGGGAGAGGAATATTCCTCCCCGTTCTCCTTCCCAAGTAAGGCGCACCAGAACACATGGCACGCCTTCCTCCACGGCCTCCAATTACATCTGCGCAACAGACGCCCCCGCGTCCGATGCGCGAAGGCCATGGGGCCAGGAAAAACGAGCACTTAGAAGTACTAGCCTTCCCGACCCCAGCGGCGGATCTGGTCTATGGCTCCGCCGCCAACCAAGATTCGGCTGTGGAGGATAGGGAGAGCGGCGCCTCGCAATACCGACAATCCTCTCCCCCCGCAGCCCCATCACCACCGCATCAACGGTGCGGCCCCGTTTGAGTCGCGGAGGATAGGGCGAGTGGCGCATCGCCATACCAACACTCCTCTTCCTCCGCGACTCCACCTCGGCTGCAGCGGTAGGTGGGGAGGACACACCTCTCACCGCAGTCCACCAACACACATCCGAAGTGAGCTTCCCAAGCCCACTCGGAGTGGCCACCTCGGGCCGGCCCTCCACCTCGGACCAGCCATATGGGTTCCTCTTTGTTTCGCCGTGGGTGACCAAGCCACGCCGGGCGCCGGGACCAAGTCGTGGCGGGGGGCTTAGAGCCCCCCCGCCACGACAAGACGAGAACCCGTTCGGGGGGGATGATGGAACCCCTGAGAAAAGCACTTTGCCCGCTCGTCCTTAGGGGTCTCTTCGACGGCATTTTGAAATGCAGCCACTGATTAATCGGCGTCTATAAAACGTTTTCGTCGAAGTTATTCTTTTATTTTCGGAATTAAATAAAAATCGCAAGGTCTAAGCTATAGGGCGAGTGACCCAAGAATTCCACGTCTACGTCGCCAAGTAGTCGATTGTTTGCTTGGCGGTGTACGACGATACGTTGTCATGGTGAAGGAGGATTCTACTGCGAGGTCGTTTCTTCCAAACCTTTTCCAAGGCAAGTGGCAAACAATTGTTAGTGTACCACTCTGCAGCAACTGTTTTTCGATCCTCTAACACAAATGTTACGTAACGACCTGTCCTTTCGAAGAACGAAGCCACCATATTTTTTCCCATGCTTAAACCTCTCTTCACTTTAGTTGGCAACTCCTCGGGAGGGAACACCCAGACAGCAGACTGTCTTTTAGTTTCAAGATCATAACAATAAATTCAGCTTTCGTCACCCGTAAGTATGTCGAACACAGCATTTGAGGCACCTCCGTTAAATCTTTGAACCATTTCACGACACCAATCAACACGACGGAGTCTGAACCTCTGTCAAATTATGAGGTATCTACCGGGCACAAAGCTTCGTGACCGTTAAATGTTCATGGAGGATTTTGTGCACTTGACTCATATAGATGTCACTCTTTTGTCAGTTTCTATCATACGTCACACACTGATCTTCAGTCGTCGCCGTAGTAGGCCGTCCTTCACGCAGATCATCGGTAAGATTAGTGCGACCACGCTTCATGAAACCAGTTATGAACAGTGGCACGAGATGGGGTTTCATCGTGAAAGGCAAATAAAAGTCTATCATAACTTTCTTGTTGACTTAAATGACATCGAAATTCATAAAAAATCATTGTACGAAAAATACAGACAATTTTCAAATCCTAAACAAATGACCAATTAATAAAATACATGCACAATAATATTGGCAGAGTTCCATTTTCAAAATTTGAACTTATTTTTTATTATATCGTTTACAAATGGCCTGTTCTAAAAACTTTCTGTGTCGCCCTCGTACTATGTAATTTAATTGAAAAGTTAGTTTTAAACTTTATCAGTTTCTAGAGTATTATATTAATACCTATGGTTTGCTCGTTAATTTTTTCATTTTAACACTCTTTGGTTTTTCTACTTTTATGAGTCTCTGGTTTTTTTTATTTAATTAATATAAAATTTTAATACAAAATTTTTTCGAACAATTTTACTTTCCCCTATGAAATCTGTCAAATATGACAGATAGCCCTGGTGGCAGAAAACTGGTCCTCATTCCAGCTATCGTAAATAGCCGATGTGCTGGCACCACGCGAAGTATGGAGCGCAGGCCCATAAGTGCTTGAAGCTCTGCGATTTTGACAAGTAGGGGAACTCCACGGGCAATCGCTAATGCCGGCAGACTATTACCTTTCCTTACGGTGTCGGTGAAAAATCCTACTTTTAATTATTTCTTTTTAATTTCATACATGTAATACAACATGTATTAATTTAAAAAAAATTGCGGGAAATGGTGGTTTTTCTTAAATCTAAATTACCAAAATATGGCGACATTTAACTCTGGATCTAGTGACAAGATAATATTTGAGGTGGCAACTCTGACCGCGATGATCGGCCAGTGCAACATCGAGTACGGAAGCGCGGGAAGTTCTGAAGTAGGCGGGCGTCCTTTTTTTGGCTAAACTTTTGAAAATTGAATTAAATTGATATTACAGGATCAGTTAAGTTGTAAAGTATATATATTAGTAGTTATTGTTGATTATTTATAGTTTTAGCTCGATTTCTTCATCTGGTAAGTCATTTCATTGTATTATATGTAAATAGGATTTTTCTCTTGGCGTCCATGTTGGAGCCCGAAGACCCTGGAGGGACATCCCTCCAAGTGTCTCATGTAGTCACAATCGATGCGTCGGGAATGGAAACGGAAGGTTCAATTATAGATACAGACTGTTCGGAAAACACGAAATCGGTGAAAAGAAAGAGAATTTCAGCTAGAAACCAAAAGAAGAGAAGGAATCGCAGACAAACGGGTCTATCAGACCGCCAACTTTCCCCTAACGATTTAAAGGATAATGTTATTACTAAATTGCTTGATTCTGATGATAAAAACACTAAAATTCACCATAATGATGACACTCACTCTAACAATATTACAAGTAACCCCCGCGCTGCTAGGTTGCTTTACCAGGCGTCAGATCCTGCGCCTTATGTTGTCCATGTCCAAAAAATCTTACAACCAAATCAAACTGGATCTATTCACCCAGTACAATTTGGATTATTCCTTAAAAAAAATTTAATAAAAAGCATTGTAGAGGGAAGCATCAAAAAAATTGGAAGAAACAGGTTGTATTTGCAATTTGAAACATTTCAGGATGCTAACACATTTCTAAATCACAAATCTCTTGATGTTAATAAATACAAAGCATTTATTCCAGCCTTCACTATCACCCGCATGGGAATAGTGAGAGGTGTTCCATGTGATTGGGATGAGAAAGATATAATGGAAAATATAGAC